CCCACTTCGATTTTTTCTCTTTTTCTTATTTTCTCTTTCTTTTTTATTTAAATTTTATCCGTTCCTCCAACAATTCGAATTATCTTCTTCCCTACTTCTTTTCTCATCTTTCTGATTTATTTTATTTTCCTTTATTTATTTTAAAAATTCGAATTTTTCTGCGGCACCCTAAAATCTGATTAGGACTTAGCCATTCTTGCTTTTGGCACACATTTTGACCTCGTGGGGGTAACGAAGTGATGCCGAAATTTGTGAAAAATCCAAAACTTGGTTAGTTTATCTTCACTCTCCTCCACCTCCTTATTTATTTATTTATTTATTTATTTAATTACTTATTTTTCTGAAAATTTTAATTTGCGGCATTGTAAAAATTAGTGTGTTTTTCATAGTCTCTCCGTTCTCTTTGCACAATTTGACCCCGTTGGGGTAAGAAAATGTTGCCGAAATTTTCAAAAAAATAAATAAGTCCTCTTCCCTCGCTCTTTACATTTTATTTCTTTATTTATTTTTATTTCTTCTTTTATTTTATTTTTATCTCGAAATTTTATTGTTTATTCTTTATTCTATTTTCTTTCCCCCTCCCCTCCATATTATTTTTTTTCTTGATTAGGTAGCCGCTACCCTCCCCTAACCACCTAAACTCTGGTTAGGGTTTTCTTAGGGTTTTCTAGGGTTTAGGGTTCTCCTAACTCCCGCCCCCCTTCCTACTCTCCCGCCTCCTCCCGTCGGGCACCCTGGACCGGGACGGCTCCTCACACCTCGAGCGGTTCGGCGCCTTCGTCTCACGCGCGACCCGCAAAATCCAAGGCGAGCTGACTCACACATACTCACTCCGCTCCCGCGGTCCCCTTTCTCTTACCGGTGGGCCCCTTTCCCCACACACTCCTCTGAGGACTACCTCCATTCCCCTTCCGGCCATGGAAGGGAGTTCATCCGAGGAGATCGTCGCGGCGCAGTCCACATCCCAGGTCAGCGCGCCGTCAGCGGCTCATGATCAAACCCATGCGGACACGATGGACCTTCATGCCGTCCTTATAGCAATCCAGGCACAACTTAGTACGCTTGGACCGTTGCAAGCGCAAATCAATGCGCTAGCCTTCGACGTCAACCGCCTCAAGGGCTCCCCTCATCGCTCTCTCCACCGCTCTCACACCCCTTCCCCTACCGGCTCCGATTCCGGCTTCCCAGGACTCCAGAAACGGAGTCACCATGGTTCCCCCTCCTCTGCAGGCCAGGCCCAGCACTCCCCCTCAGCGGTGGCGAGTGCTGCTGCCGCTCAGACCACCCCGTCCGTTGCGGCAGTTCTTCCGGCCACGGCCGCCCCTACCGTCTCTACTACTGCCGTAGGTGCTGCGGTTCATGTACAGCCATCTGGTCGCGCAGTTTCATCGACCTACCCCGGTGTTGCTTCTCAGCTTCCCGCACCGGTCGCGGCAATACGGCTCCGCCCTCTTCTTCCTGCCTTCGTCCCCCCACCCCCACAGCAGGGTACCGCCCAGACTGGGATTCCTCCTCCTCCTGGCGACCCGCTCCGCCCCCTCCACCTCCGACCCCGCGCACCCAGCGAGTGGCCACTTTACAGGCCACCATTGCGCAGGCTCAGACGGAGATTCTCGCTCTGAGACAGCCTCACCCATCACAGGCTGCCCACCCTTCTTCCTCTACCACCCCTTCGGTCCCCATGATGCAGGCTCGTTTCCCTCGACCTGCTCCTCAGCTTCTTCCCTCCTACCTGGCTATTCCGGGACAGCTGCCCTCGGCCGTTGCCTCCTCGTCTGCTAGTCCATCCGCCAGCGACCACGGCCCACAACCTTCCCCCACCTCTGCCCCTGCAGCGGCCTCGACTTACGCTGCCGCAGTGCACTCGCCTCGATCTCTCTCCCCCCGCCATCAGCACAGTGGACATCCTCCTGTGCGCACCACGGACATTCCCGAGTATGATGGCACATCCCGTGTCTCTCACTGGTTGCAGATAGCAACGCGCACGCTCTCTATGACGACCACCCGTCAGGAGTTGTGGTGCGATGTGCTCGCAACCAAATTGTGAGGTAGCCCTTCAACTGCGTGGGAGGATCATTATACCCAGCGCCTCCGCGTGGGTGACGTCCCCACTTTGGCCGACTTCCCAGCCTTTCTTCAGGACCGTTTCGGCGCTCGTCATGACGCCACCGACGCCTTAGACCGCGTCACCCAGACCAGATGGTCCGGGTCCTCTGTACCGGCCGACCTGGAGCGTCATATCCGGGTGTTTCAGGACGCTCGCCTTGTTTGTGACGAGACGTTCCTACCGGAGGTCACACTCACTGACCGGTTCCTTGTCAGCCTGCCAACTGACTACCGCCTAGAGCTATGGAGGCGATCATTCTCTTTCGCGGAGCAGGCATACGAGGCTGCGCGTCAGTACCAGAGGATGTGCAGTCGCTTCTCAGTCGCCCCATCCTCTTCGCGGCCAGCCGCCACCTCCCAGTCTCGGGGTACCACCCGAGGCCGCTCCTCGTTTGCCAGTCGTTTTCGTCGCCCGGCTCGACCTGGAGCGCCATTCGCTCGGCACTACAGTTCTCTCGAGTATGGAGAAGACGCCTCAGCCGAGCTCGATCCTACCATTGGGGACGCCCCCGAGGACATCGAGCTTCGGGACGTCATCCAGTACCACTTGGATGACGACACTGTCCCAATGGCCGAGCGCTTGCAGATGACCATGTCTGCCATGGGTCGTGCACGCAGTCGGGTTGCACAGGCTGGCGCCCGCACACCCACAGTTCCTCAGATAGACCTCCCGCAGGGTTTTGTCCCTCCTCGCGGAGCTCTATTCCCCGAGGAGCGTGCCGCCCTCGAGGCCCGACGAGGCTGCCTTCGTTGCCGCCAGGATGGACACACCTCCTCATGGTGTCCATACCACACCACCCTCGATCGGTACTACGCTGACATTTCTCGTCAGCATCGATCTCAGTCCCCTCTCGGGCCCGCCCGGCCAGCCCCACCCAGCTAGCCACGGTGCAGTGTACCCCTGAGGCCTCGCACGTAGCCGGCTTCCCGACCACCGAGTCCCGGTTTGCCCCTTTGGCTACCCCACCAGAGGACCCACGCAGTTCTCTCTGCCCCGTCGTCTGTCGAGGTACTGTCTGCCTCCCCGCAGACCGCCACATCTAGCGCTTCTCCCCCGAGACTTCCGACGCGTCGCGCCATTCGCACAGCCCGTTGTAGCACTCAGCTGGCGACTCGCGATGACGTTGTGTCATCTCTCCTGGACTTTAGCATTCTGTAGGCTCGTCAGGAGCGACTCACGAGGCACGTCAACGTCCTGCGTCGTCTTCTCGCTCTGCTCTCTGACCCTAATCGCACCCTACCCATCATCCCTATTCGCCTAGGGACATCTACGAGGGTGTACCGCGCTTTATGAGACTCTGACTCGCAGGGAGATTTCGTTCACCCTCGAGTGGTTGAGGAAGCTCGCCTAGCTACCTCTAGGTCTCGCTCTCCTATCTCTGTTACCCTCGGAGATAACAAGACGCAGCGCTTCTTCGATCAGACGGTCCCCGATCTCCACTTCTCCCTTACCCTCCAGCCATCGGATAGTACCCAGACGCCTAGGCGCTACCATTCCTCCGCATACTTCGACGTGCTGGAGACTGGGTACGACTTTATCCTTGTCACTCCCTGGTCTCGCCGGTTCCGCAGCACAGAGGCCGAATGGGCGACCAAGACACTCGTTCTCAAAACGAAGTGTGGTCAGACCCATCGCGTCCCGTTCATTGGAACCATGGGCGACACCCCACTCGACCTACTTCCCCAGGACCCTCGTCCCTCAGGGTCCCACCCCATCATCGAGTTCACTTCCCCTCATCAGTTTGCTCACTTCATATGACAGGAGGACGTCACGTTCTACTCAGTGAACGTTATGGATCTTCTTCGCTACGATCCACTCTGTCCCGAGGTTGAGCTCATCTCTGTGGAGCCCGATCCCCCTGACCCTCCTTCCATCTTCGCGGCTCCCATCTCTACATCCACTCGTCAGCCTGCCGATACCCCCTCCACGTCTCAGGCCCCTGCGCCGTCGACTGTCGAGTCCACACATACGTCTCGTGCTGACGCAGACGCCGAGGAACTCACACGGTTCACGACAGACTTAGAGCTGGCCGTTCGCGACCTGATTCGAGAGTACCGCGACGTCTTTCCCCCGTATTTCTCATACAGCGGGATTCCCCCGATGCGCGGTGTTGAGCATTCTATCCAGCTCGTGCCTGACTATCGTGTTCACCATCAGGCACCGTACCGACTCTCAATCCCAGAGGCGACGGAACTCAAGCGTCAGCTTGAGGAGCTCCTTCGACTGGGTTTCATTAAACCCAGTAACTCCCCCTGGGGTGCACCTGTCCTCTTTGCTCGCAAAGCGGACAGAACTCTCCGCCTCTGCATCGACTATCGCGGCCTTAACCGTTACACGGTTAAGAACAGTTATCCCATGCCCCGCGCGGATGAGCTGTTTGACCGTCTGGCAGGCAACCGCTTCTTCACGAAGATCGATCTTCGTAGCGGTTACCACCAGATCCGCGTTGCCATAGAGGATCATCCGAAAACCGCCTTCCAATCGCGCTTCGGCCACGACGAGTTCACGGTGATGCCATTCGGCCTCACCAATGCACCAGCCACCTTCCAGACGGCGATGAACGACATTTTCAGGGACATCCTTGAAGAATACGTTCTCATATACCTGGACGACATCCTGGTCTACAGTCGTACCTTAGAAGACCATCTCAGACACCTTCGTGATGTCCTACAGCGCTTACGCAAGCATGGCTTCTATGCCAAGCTCAGTAAGTGCCGCTTTGCTGAGCGCAAAGTGGACTTCACGGTGCGCACGGACAACTCAGTTGTCCAGGCTTTCCTCACGAAGCCTAAGCTTTCCCCTCGACAGGCACGGTGGTGGCGTGACTTATCCGAGTTCAGTTTCACCACTTAGCCCATTAAGGGTGAAACGAACTGCGTCGCCGATGCCTTGTCCCGCCGTTCTGATCACAATCAGGAACCCATCCAGCTTGTTGTCATCTCCATCACCACTGTTGATCAGTCGGTGATCGACGCGTATTGCACTCAATACCGCCACTGCCCCGATTATTGCGTCATCCACGCGACACTGCGGAGTGGCAAGACCGTTCCTTCCTACTCCCTCGGGGAGAACGGCCTCGTGTACTGGCATGGCAGATCTGGTCAGCTAGAACCACGTATCTGYGTTCCCTCCACCGGMCAGCTCCGCGTCCARGCTGTAGCAGAGTTCCATGACCAGGMASYTGYCGGTCATATRGGTTTYCACAAGACGTTGGCTCGTGTTTGCCGCCTATACGTCTGGCCGAAGTCCAAGGACTTTGTCAAAGCCTACATCCATGAGTGTCCTACCTGCCAGGAGGTGAACAGTGCGAACCACCTTCCGTATGGGTTACTTCAGCCCCTACCCATACCTGAAGGTCGTTGGCAGTCCATCTCGATGGATTTCATTGGTCCCCTCCGCCCACCCACTGAGCGCGGTCATGATGCTATCTTGGTCGTCGTCGATCGCTTCACGAAGCGTGCACGTTTTGTCCCGTGCCGCTATCGCATTAGCGCTCGTGAGGTCGCCGACATCGTCTTCGACCGAGTCGTGAGAGATCACGACTTACCTCAGAGCACCATCTCCGACCGTGACCCGCGCTTTACCAGCACATTTTGGCGACGCCTACACGAGGTGTACGGATCCCAGCTCTGTTTCTCATCGTCTTACCACCCTCAGACGGATGGTTAGACTGAGGTTACCAATAAAACTTTCGGTAATATCCTCTGAAAGTTTGTTAGGGATGACCAGCAGTGGGACTTACACTTAGCCCACGCGGAGATTGCGTACAACCACGCTGTTTCGCCAGCCACGGGGATGTCGCCATTCTATTGCGACCACGGCTACCACCCTCGCGCACCCGCGGATTTCTTACGACCATCGCGGTTGCGCCCAGACACTCGTTGCCCTGCGCTTGACGACTGGATCGTCCACATGGCGGTGATTATGAAGCGCGCACACGAGAGTTTAGCCGACTCCCAGACTCTCATGGCCGCACGAGCGAACCGATCACGAATGGATCATCCATTCAAAGTCGGTGACGATGTGCTCGTCGACGCACGCCACTTACAGCTCGAAGCAGATATGCTTCGCAAGTTCAGGCGTCATTTTTTCGGTCCATGCCGCATCCTTCAGGCCGTCAGTTCTCATACTGCCGCTAGTCCGGTCAGCTTCCGTGTGAAGCTATCTAATTACCTTCGACAGGCTCGCGTACACGATGTTTACCATGTCTCCTTGTTACGTCCTTACCGCAGACCATCCGAGCGCTTCGCCAGACGCCCTTATGAGCGCCCTACACCTATCATGGTAGACGGTCACGAGGAGTTCGCTGTTTCCGACATCGTATCACGCCGAGTTACCGACGATACCCCTCCACGCATCGAGTACCTTGTGCGTTGGAAGGGCTACCCTGATGAGGAGGCTACTTGGGAGGCCCTTGAGCACTTGCAGCACGCCAGGATGTTGGTGCGTGCATACGATCGTGCTCGTCGTGTTAAGATGTCTGCCCCTGCTCAGCCGACCGACCCTCTTCCTCCTCCTCCGGCTGAGGAGATTGCTGAGGACGAGCCCGTTCCCTCTGAGGCCGTTCCTCAGCCGCAGACGGTCGCCTCCGAGCGTTCACAGCGCACTCATCGTCGCCCTTCGCGTTACGATGACTGACACTCTTATCCTCTATCTTTCCCCTATTGACTCACACCATCAGGTACTCCATCATCAGCTTCTTCAGGATGTCAGTGTTTTGCGGCTCTGCTTCGACATCGACTCGACTGCTACTTCATCGACGTCATCGACCACTTCGACGACTTCAGCCACCTCATTGGCTTCAGCTATTTTGGACGTGACTACTTCACGCCACCACCCTACCCTGTACATTCCCTTGCATCTGTCGCATGATGGTTCTCACTTAGCTGGGTCTCTTTGAGTTGGGCTCTCCCTTGGTATTGCATAGGCATTGGGACCGTAGCGTTATCTTGGCTTCCCTGCTCCCAAATCTAGCTCCGTCCTCCCCCAGTCGGTGAGTTGTGTGCATGTTTCCCTCACCCACTGCCCTCATCACCCTAGTGTCGGCCCTTGCATGCCTTCAGTTAGGCATATCTCCACCCTATTCCAGGCTCCCCCTTTTTTCATGGTCGACCCTGCATGGTGTCATCCTTTTGTCGAGCATTACCCGCCCTGATGGTCTATCTGTTAGGGTCTTTGGTTTTGTTTCGCTACCAGTCTCCCACCTTGAGCCTGATGACCTATCCCACCTTCACGTGTGACTGCCCTTAGGAGTTTTGATTCTTAGGCTGCATTCACCCCCTCGGAGACCATCCCACCCTTAGTGGTTCAGCGACAGGACATTATCTTGTGCCATATTGCTCTTTTTCCTTTCAGCACTGAGGCAATTGCCTCCAGGACTTTAGGATTGTATATTGCTACATTTCACTTTTTGCTATTAGCTAGGATATGGATACCAGACATTTGTTTTTCTTTTGACATTATGTAGCTTAGGATGCATCGCATGGACTCCGCATGGAGCTTGCTCCGCATCCTAGATTTCTCAGCTTTCTTTATTGCAGAGTTCCGCTGCTTTTGCGGATAGTGTGTTTATGGCTCTTGCGATCCATACAGGTCTGAGGATCGTGCAGCAGACCTTCATCTGCCCTGGCCTACAGCCAGGGCTTATTTAGCTATTTGCCAGTTCGGCCTGTGGGACCAGGCCGTGGCCTGACCCCACAGGCCGTGTGATGTTCCAATCCTGCTCGGTACCACTGTCGGTACCAGGCCAGTCCAGTCAGTCAGTYCGCTGGGGGTATACCCCAGCTGTAGTCTTTTTTTGATTCATTCTTCATTTGCATAGATTGGAGTACGTGTGTGTTGAGTCTGCGTTGGAGCGGCGCTGTCCCTTCCAGCTCCATCTCCATCTCCCCCATCCTCATCCCTTCGTCTTGATCCTGACGGACCGCCATCCCGGCGGGTCCGTCACAACGAGCCATGTTTTGTGTCTGGCCGAAGGCTATGCGTGCTCTGTATAACTGCATAGCGAGATGTATGCGCTCGAAGGCCAGATATGTGCAGTACTTTGTAGAGGGAACTATGTGTTCGTTGAAGAGATGACAGGCCAAGTTGGACAAGAACCCGCCCAAACTGCCAAGAGAGATTCGAATTTCAAACCCATGATCTATGACATGTGACCTGAAGACTCTACCATTCGAGCAACAATAGCAAACAGAACCTACGTGTGATATGCCAGACTGGCGAGATCAAGCAAACTGCATAGTATCAAGACCCGGCATACAACACCGTGGACAACCCTTGGGTGGTGCGCATGCAGTGTATGTAATAGCTTATTATGTGTCAGCCCGAGGGGTTGTGTGTCCAGCCGTGCATCGTTCTAACGCCCTGCGGGTGTCCATGCGCAAGGCTGCGGAGTTTTGAGCCCGCAACCTCATACCACAACGCGCATTCCCTCCCTTTCTCTCTGTACTCTGCCTGACTGGCCTACCCCCCTCATAAGGCCTACACAGCACACCGAGTGGCTCGGCTTCTAAAGGTGCCTCGCTACGTTTTCGAGTTTTCCACGTGCTGTCCTTATTCACGTTGACGTCCACATTATCCTGTCGATTTTGTACTGACGGCAGGACTTTCCGGGATACAGACTGTAATTACGGCGCGCGCGCGCTGGATGTATCATGCATGTGACTGTATTTACGGCAGGCGTTGAATGTGTCAGCTCGTAAGTACGTCCAGAGGTCGGTCGAAAAAGTCGTCCATGGTGTGATTAACACATGAAATGCAGGGCCAATTTCTTTAAATTTTTTTTCCCCTGGGAGGTCCCACCGTGTTTCTTTGTCCGTTTCTTACCGCTGATATCGGCAATCAAAGGGCGTACTCACACTTGGAGTATCTCAATTTCTCAAATGTATCTGACAGCATTCACGGCCATGTATCTGGCCACAATTCCATCCAAAAATATGTATAAAGTCGTGGTAGTGTGAGTATGCCCTAAGGTCCTAACGACAAATCCAGCGAAGCAAGATCGCAGTCCCGACCCCCTCTCCTTCATTATAATTTCCTTTTTCTAATTTTAACAATCCTCCTCTCGTGCCCTATCTTCCTGAAATGTTGCCATGCTCTCTCTCTCTCTCTCTCTCTCTCTCTCTCTCTCTCTCTCTCTCTCTCTCTCTCTCTNTCTCTCTCTCTCTCTCTCTCTCTCTCTCTCTCTCTCTCTCTCTCTCTCTCTCTCTCTCTCTCTCTCTCTCTTTGTGTGTGTGTGTGTGTGTGCGTGTGTGTGTGTGTGTGTGTGTGTGTGAGTCTCACTGCAATACTCTCCACTCTCCGAAAAATCCGAGAGTTGACAGAGAGCTGAAAACCTCTCCGAATTCGCGATTTTGGGTTCACCGCTGCACTAAGGGTCTCCAGTCGCTCCACTTACTATAATATGAAACGTACCTTCAAAACTCTGTGTATAGTGGTCAGATGGCGCCTTCCAGATTCACCATATGATTCTGTATAGTTCCCAGCCTGCAAACGTTGTTATTCGGAAGGTGGTCGAAGCAGGCCGCCGTTCGAACGTGAAATGGGATAGTCCATCTGTAGTCTGGGCCGACAAATCGCTGCCTTGTAGTGCTTTAAGAAGTATAAGGGTGTTTTGTAGTGAACTCAGGAATTGGAGACTTGTATAGCAGATAGTGGGCCTCGCTGCGCTACACTTGAAAACAAAGCTGGGAAACAGCTTCAAGAGATGTCATATCAGTGCTAGATTCTTGAAGACTGAGTCATCGCTGCACTCACTCTTGACAGATACTCTTAAATTTATTTTTCAAGATTTGTCAGAAGGCCCAATTCTGACAGCTCTTGAAGTGTTCAAGTGTGCCTGCCTGCAAGGATGGGTTTTTTAAGGGTGGTCTGCCCTACGGCCCCTACCCTTCACAAGCTCTTCAGCTTTCAAAAGCGGGCCTCCAGTCTCGTCGGACAAAGCAGCTTTGCACCGTCGTGTAGCATTCAAAACTGGAAGGAAATTTAAAAAAAAAAAAATCAGGAATCTTCCAAGAGTAGGGCCGTCGAGAGTCACTGCAGTGACGACGGCTAGTGTGAGCATTTCTCGTGTTGGAGAGCTCTTGATCTACGCTTGAACTTTTTTGTGAGTCAAGCGGAGTGCAGCGAGGCCCAGTGGGCCTCTCTGCACTACTTTAGACTTGGGAAATTTTCGAAGCGTCTCTCAAGAGTTGTCAGACTCTTGAAATGCCGGATAGGATAGTGCAGTCGTGGCTCCACTTACGCCCTAAACTCTTGAAGGTTAGGAAACACTACCGGTGGGGGGGGGGGAAGGGAAAGCACGCAGCTACGAAGGTTTGTCCACCCAGACTCCAGGTAAACTTTAAAAAAACAAACAATGGGGTGCGTAGAGTCCTTTGTTTTTTTTTTTGTTTTTCTTTTTGAACCGGGCCCAGTGCCCAAGGCTGATATTACCAATCAGAAGATTGAGGCCGAGGTCCTCACAGTCTACCCGGAGTGACCAAACAGAACATGCTGAGAAACGGGCTCAGCTTCCCTCATATGATGATGATGATGATGATGATGATGATGATGATGATGAATTTCTGTGTAAACTGTGAGATAATCATACTAATGATGATGATGCTAAAGATGATGATGATTAGAATAGAAAAAACATAAAAAGGGGCGCGTAGGGTCCTATATGGACCTCCCTTGAAGAAAAAATGAACTTGCAGGCTGGCATTCGTGAATGGTCAAGAGTGACACTCGGGAGTGACCTCTGACAGCACTAGGAAAAGAAAAATGAAGAGTCCCTTTCTTGAACTAGTTACCATGACTCTCACTCTGGACATTTTCGAGAGCGAGTCCGACAGGTATCAAATGCTAGGTATTGGGGATCCCGCGTGGCAAGAGTTCATGCAGCCATGCCACACTCTTGAAACTAGAAGTTTCAAGCATAGTCCAGCGACTCCCAGTACTAAGGGCATCAGCACCCCACTCTCGAAATGTGCAAAACGAGAATGAACCTCCTGCTACAACGTGGCCAGATGCACCCGCTATATTTTTGTCTTTTCCACATTTCGAGAGTGGTGTGGCAGGCCCAGTGCTAAGCGGTATATATTATTAAGCAGGGAGGAGGTCGGAAATCCCTCCACATCTCAACCCGGAGACTGGGGCCATTACCCAGATTCAGCTGTGCTGGAAATCAGCTCCAGCGTCCCGAGATAAAGCCCTAGAGCAGTCTACAACTTTACGCTACTCAATTATCAAATTTCTGTTGTGCTGGAGATTGGATCCAGCGCCCCAAGATAAAAACCATATAGCAGTCTACAGTTGCGAGCTACTGAATATCCAATTCCCGCTACTCCTACCCGGTAATCTAAAGATTCTCAAAATGAACTACTATATTCTCATTACCCCAAACGGGTTGAGTCCATACCTTCGGTATACTAAAAAAAAAAAAACTTACTTCCTGTTGAAGGTCTTATCTTAGATGTCACAGCATCCAAATTTTTTTAGAGAACCTCTCAGCCCAGGGGCTGCCTGATTATCTGATGAGATTTGGTTCCCTGTGTTGGTCATGGAATCTAGGTGAAAGAGCACTAGTTCTGTTATTGCCCTTAGTCAAAATCCTCAATAATTGCTGGGGATAACTCATTAGTGTTTTCCTCCCATAAATGTCGGGAAATAACCAAGTGACCCTGCTGAGAGAATGAAACCCATTTAAAGTCTTCGTTCCAACTTGAGATTAACCTGATCTGCGT